CCTTCCTTCCTTCCTTCCTTCCTTCCTTCCTTCCTTCCTTCCTTCCTCTTTCCAAGCACCTTTCAGAGAATCTCCACTTTGGCTCGATTTTCTGGCTATTGATGGGCCTCGGTGTCTCATGCAGTGGAGGATGGATCTCCCAAGCGAAGCAGATGAGCTTTCCCCCCTCAGATGGCTTCTCCCCCTCAGAGCAGCTGAGAACAAAGGAAGGTCGTTTCCTTTGCGTTCCCCTCACCATCACCTTCAAGGCCTGGATTCGTTTTATGACGATGGAGAAGCCTCTCTTGGGGGCGTCAGGCCACAAAAGGGAAAGAGATGAAATCTGGAATTTTTTGGGGGGGGATGATCGGATGGTTTGGGCAAGAGGGAATTAGGGAAAGGATGTAGGTTGATCTCGGAGGAAGAGATGGACGAATTTCGCTTTTTATTTCTCTCTGTTGCAAAGAAAGTCAGAAGTCATTCCATTTTCTATTTTTCTTACTTTTTCATTTCCTTTCTTTCTTGCCTCCTTCCTCCCTCTCCTCACCTTCTTTCCTTCTCTCATCCCTTTCCTCTCCTTCTTTACTTCCCTTCCTCCTCTCTATATTCATTCTTTCCTCTTTCCTTCCTTCCCTTTCTCTCTTTCAGTTCCCCCTTCCTTCCTTTTTTCCCTCCCTCCCTCCCTTCCTCATTCTCTATTCCTTCTTTCCTCTTCCCCCTTCCTCTTCTCTCCTTCCTTTCTCATCCCCCTCCCTTCCCCCTCCTCTCCTTCAATCCTTCCCCCTTCCTTTTTCCTTTCCTTCCTCTCCTCATCTCCTTCCTTCCTCTTTCCGTTCCTTCCCTCTCTCCCTTCCTTCTTTCTCTCCCTCCCACCTCTTTCTTTTCCTTTCTTCTTTCCTTCCTTCCCTTTCTCTTTTCCCTCCCTCCCCTTGTTCTGTTTCCTTCCTTTGTTTTCTCTTCCTTTCCTTTCCTTCCCTTTCTTTCTTTCTTTCCTTCCTCCCTCCTTTCTGTTTTTGTTCTTTCTTTCCATTTCTCCTTTTCCCCCTCTCTACTCTTCCTCTCTTTTCTCTTTTTCTTCATCTATTCCCCCCCCCCGTCAATCTTTCTAATCTTGCCTGTTTCTCTTTTCTTCTATTTTGGAAACTCAATAATTAAAAATTAAAAGGATCAGTTTAGGATTTGGGGGAGGAAAAAGGATGTTTTAACAGACAGACTGAGATGATCATCCTCCGTTCGCTCACAAATACAAAAATAAACATTTACAGAATAACATCCAGAATGCAGACAGTCCTCGACTGTCTGCACAACAGAACCTCAAATTTCTATTGATAAGTGAGACATTTGTTAAGAGTGTATGGCCCCCTTGTTACGGATTTTCTGGCCATGGTCGTTAAGCAAATCACTGCAATAGCTCAGTTCATCACCTGGTCATTAAATGAGCCTGGCTTCCCCATTGCTGCTCCGAAGGTCGCAAAAGGGGATTGTGTGACCCTCCAGACGCGACGACCGTCATAAATTTGAGTCAGTTGACAGGCATCTGAACGTCAGTTCACCTGGGGATGCTACAACAGTCGTAAGCACAAAAACCGGTCGTAAGTCCCTTTTGTCCACGCCGTTGTAACTTGTAACGGTCAGTAAGTGAACCATCATAAGTCGAGGACTGCCTGTATCAGATTTCTGATTTTGAATTGCCTTCACCAATTTGGAGAGTGGATAAAAGTTGGAAAAAAAACCCCTTCCTTTGTTCATTTCTTAAAATCCACTAATACAGTCTTAGTCCTCGACTTACAACTGCAACGGAGCCCACCCCAACTTTCCATCGCTAAGCGAGACAGCATCAAAGTGAATTTGGTCCCATTTTACGAACCTTCTTGGCACTGTTGTTAAGTGAATCCCTGCAGTTGTTAAGTCAGTCACACGGTCGTTAACTGAATCCAGCTTCACCATTGACTTTTTGTCAGAAGGTCGCAAAAGAAGACTGTCGTAAATATGAGTTGATGGCCAAGTGGCTGAATGTTGATCACGTGACCATGGGGACGTTTTGACAGACGTGTGAAAAGCGGACTTCAGTCCCTTTTTTCAGCGCTGTGGCCACTTTAAACAGTCACTAAACGAACAGTTATAAATAGAGGATTATCAATTTACCTGAAAGTCTCTCTCTCTCTCTCTCTCTCTTTTTCTTTCTTTTTGCTATATTTATATCTAATGGGGAAGAATTGGAGCCATGGATCAAAAACTGACAGATTTTAGGAGGTTTCTCTAAAATTTCAGTCCATTTTTTGCTTCCAAATTCCATGTTTTTCCAGGAGAGATCCCTAAAGTCGATCCCTGGAGGTTTTGGGTGATCCGTAAGGATTTCTATGGAAAGTTTAGGTGGCTTCAATCAAACCAGAAACAAAAGAGCCGGAATTGAGTCTCTGTGACCTCTGCGAACGGCTCGTTTGCACCTCTCAAGTTTCTAGTCCCTGGTGAGAGTGCAATTTTTTTTAAAAAAAAAATTGTCGGGTAGGCAATGCAACTTTTGCATGACAATCGGTGTCAAATCACAAAAGAGGCCTGCCGGGTTGGGATCTCATTGCTACTTGCAAGTCTCCTTCTCCGTTAGATCCTGTCAGATACATCCGACTCTGATCCCCTTTGTGTAATCTCCAGTTTCGGATTACGGAAAATCCTTGATTTACAACCGTTCATTTAGTGACCACTTGAACTTGGAAAAAAGTGACTTCGGACTGTGTTTAACACAATAGTTACGACGCGTGGCCACCTGATCAAAATTCAGACACACTTGGCAACTGACTCCTATTTATGACGGTCGCAGCGTCCCGGGGTCACCTGATCCCTTTTTCGACCTGAGCAATGTCGATGGGGAACCCAGATTCACTTAACAACTGCAAGGATTCTCTTAACAACCGTGGCAAGAAAAGTCATAAAATGGAGCGAAACTGATGTAACAAACATCTCGCTTAACAACGGACATTTGGGCTCGATTATGGCTGTAAGTTGGGGTCTATGTGTATTGGGGTGAAGAGAGCTGGAGATAAGCATGGATTTGGTCAAACGTGACAAAACTCAATTAATGACAGTCTCGTTCAGCAGCAGACATGGGCTGAATTGTGGTCATAAACCGAAGACTGTCCACAGGAAG